TAACCCTGAAAGGAACAATATATCCAAGGTGATACATTCAGTAGTACCATATCACCAACCTGAAATTCCAGGTCTTAATGGCGTCTATCAGCATAGCTCTTCTGCCAGCTCTGCACGGTCTGCAATCTTCCATGCACTTGGTATATCAACTCGGTAGTCCGAAGCACCACTTTCATGCTACCCATGACTCGCTGACCGATCTTGCCCCAACAAATCGGGGTCCGACACTTCCTCCCATAGAGCATATCGAAAGGAGGTCGATCAATATTGACATGGTATTGTTGTTGTAAGAAAACTCAGCCAATGGGAGATACGTATCCCAACTACGCTAAAATACAACACATATGCTCGTAACTGTAACACCCGGTTTCAGATTGGCCTTATTAATTGGGGCTTCGGCTCAATCATTAGTTGTCATGGGGATTAGAGCTTTGGTAAAGGAAGGATTTAGCCCATTTCGGATGAAGTTGCTATGATTCAAGTGACCATGTATTCGATTGTGTCTTCGGGAGCCAAGGGTATGACTGTAAATTGATATCTTGGCCTGTTATGCATTTTAGGCTTTATTCGGAAGGTTTTAAGGCTCGAGTGTGATTCTAGGAGCGTAGGGCTTCTCGCCACCTTTTCGTGGATATAAAGTTCATCGGAAACAGACTTAGAATGGAAGAGTTATAGCACTTTGAAGTTATTGTCAATTTTAGTCCCTAATGGAGTTTTGTGACAAAGTCAGCCCATGCATGCATGGAATGCATGCGTGTGTTTAGCTGGGTACGCCCAGCGTAAATTGGGTTACGCTCAGCGTATAAGGACATATGGTCGCGGGTGCGGAGAGGCGTACGCCCATCGTACGTTCAGAGTGCCCAAAACCCTAATTCCTCTACTTGTGCCCTATATAAGCCACATTATATCCTTCCCTAGGTCATTTCAGATTAGCCTCCACCCCTTTTCACGACCATGAAACCCTAAATGACCTTGGATGAAGCTTAGAGCTTGAAAGAAGACTTTTGTGTGTGTGTGCAAGAAGAGAAGGTGGTGTTCAAATGTTGATCTTGGATGGGAGCTTGTAGATCCAAAAAGTTCTCATATTTGTCAACCTATTGGAGGTAAAAAGCTCTGATCTTGACCTTTCATTTCATGGGTTGGTTTTGGCCATTTTTAGTCTTTTGCTTGGTCTTGGTGAGCTAGGGTCGTTTTGGGGACTCAAACTTGTAGGTCTGGACATTCTAAGGTCCCATCTCTCATAAAGGTGCAAGCTTTGTGAAGTGTTTGAGTCCAAGCATGAGTTAAGACCACCCATTAAGCTCTTTTGAGCTCTAGAGTCCCACTAAGCCATGCATGTTAGTAAAGTTGCCAACTTTACTTGAAAAGTCACCTATAGAAGTCAGACTGGAGAGTTGGAGCAAGGGCTGAAGTGATTAAGTGCTTATTTGGAGAGGGTTGGACTTCAGGGGAGTACGCTGGGCGTACATCTGGTACGCTGCGCGTACTAGCCCAAAGTGGCATACGCTGAGCGTACCATATGGGTACGCAGGGCGTACTCAGCCTGATTGACTCACTTTGTTTTGTTGACCTTTTTGGGCCTTGGACCATGGACCAGGAGTTGGATAGGGTAGCCCATTTAGTATTTCAGGCCTTTTTGGAGATTGGGCCTTCTTGGGTTAGGTCCAAGATAGATTTGGGCCTTATTGGGCCTTGTGGGCCATTTTGGGTTTGGGCTATTATTTGGGTTGTGGATTGTTGGACTAGTTAAGGATGTAAATTTGGACTGGAAATAAGTTATTGGGCTTAGGGTGAGGTTGGGCCCAATTTGGAAAATTGGGCCATTAGTGGGCCATTGGTAGACCTTTATGGATTTTGGAGCTTTGGGCTTGATTGGTTTAGACTTGGGCCATTAATGGGCGTTCATGGATTATATAGTATGGACCTCGATGGTTCGGGGGTGAAACGGTCATTTCACCCCAAGTATGGATTATGGATTATGATTTAGGGCCCAATTGCTAATTGGGTGGTATTGTGATATTGATAGCTTGAGGAGTCGTCAGGGCAGGAGTAAGGATTTCTTGCAGTGGACTTCACCAGTATGAGGTGAGTTACCTTCCAGTAATGGTGGGTCTACGACCACAATGTCGGCCCACTAGTAGGAGTTGTATGTTAGATGATTGTCTTTGTGATAATTATCTAGGTTTGCTACTACCTGATGTGTTTTATGTGCTAGCCTGATATGATGTTATGTGATAGTAGCAGTAGGAGGAATAGTCCCCGTATTACGGTTGTTAGGACCGAAAGGTAGGTCGGGCACCCCAGATATGTGTGACAGTATGTTTATGATATGTTGTTATGTGGTAGTGGTAGTAGGGGGAATAGTCCCCGGTTACCGGTCGATAGGGCCGAAGGGGTAGTTTAGTACCCAGCCATGCTAGACAGATTATGATGTCTGTGATATGATATTATGTGGTAGTAGTAGGGGGTGAAATAGTCCCCGGTTACCGGTTGACAGGACCGAAGGGGTAGGTTGGGCACCCCGGTATGCCTAACAGGGGTAGGTCGAGCACCCTAGTATGCTCAACAGGGTAGGTCGGGCACCCAGATATGCCTGACATGGGGTAGGTCGGGCACCCCGGTATGCCTGACATAATGTGATTTGTATGGTATGTGGTATGATGGGGGAACTCACTAAGCTTCGTGCTTACGGTTTACAGTTTTGGTTTTAGGTGCATTGTTTTCAAGGAAAGGAGCCGGCTCGATCGCAGCGCATCACACTATGTTTTCCGCACATGAGATCTTTGGGATTACACTCTGATATGGTTTTATGATAATATGTTTTGATTATTGACACTTTGGTTTTGACATGAGATATTATTATGAATGTTTTTATACTGTTGGTTTTATATAATAACTTAATTAAAATGAAATTTTTGGTCTTAAATTTTGGGATGTTACAGTAACATATCCTCCAAGGTCTGGATAGTCCGCTCACTCCGACCATCGATTTGTAGATGAAAAGTCGTGCTGAAGAGTAGACGAGTACCCAACTCCTCATGGATTCTCTTCCAAAACCTGGAAGTGAATCGAACATCCCGATCCGAAACCACCGAGATTGGAACCCCATGTCGTGCCACAACCTCCCGGATGTAGACATCCGCCAACTTCTCCGCAGAAGTGCTCTCCTGAATAGGAATGAAGTGCACACTGTTGGTCAATAGATCTACGATGACCCAAATCAAATCCACCCCTCGCGCAGTCCACGGTAGCTTCATGATAAAATTCATCGTAATCTCTTCCCATTTCCAAACAGGAACACCCAACGACTCCATCTTGCCGTGAGGTCGTTGATGCTCGACCTTGACTTTCCCACAAGTCAAGCACCTCTCCACGTACCAGACCACATCCCGCTTCATGCAGGACCATTAATAATCAAGCCGGAGGTGTCTATACATCTTTGTCACATCTAAATGAATATAAAACTTCGACTTGTATGCCTCCTCCATCAAAATCTACCGCGTACCCCCAAAATATGGAACCCAAACTCTTCGATGAAGGGTCAATAATCCCCAACTATTATAATCAAAAGAGGACACCTGACGCACTATACACTCACTCTTCCGGTGCTCCTCTTTCATAGCCTCCACCTGAGCCTCTCGGATCTGCTCCAAGAGTGAGGTAATCACTGCCATCCTCAAACATACATCTCTTATAGGGGTACCGACCGTCTTGCGGCTAAGAGCATCGGCCACTACATTGGCTTCTCAGGGTGATAAAGGATCTCACAATCATAATCCTTCACCACATCGAGCCACCTGCGCTGGTTTATATTCAAATTTTACTGATCCATCAAATACCTAAAACTGTTGTGGTCCTCGTAGATGATACAACGAACCCCATACAAGTAATGACGTCAAATCTTGAAGGCAAAAACCACCGCCCGACCCAGCTCCAAATCATGAGTGAGATAGTTCGTCTCATAAGGCTTCAGCTGCGTCGAAAAAAATGTTTTTTTTAGGAACTTTTCACAAACCATATTCACAACAATAAAATTTATATTGTAGTTTTGACCAGCAAAAAAAAAAAAAAAGAGAATTTTAACTTGTGAAGAATTTCAACTTTGCATAACCATTGTTCACATGTGAAATTGGTAGTTATTTTTTTTTTTATTTTTTTTTTTTAATATTTGTTATTATTATTATTTTTTGTGTAAAGAATTTTGAAAACCTTTTTTACATCAAAAGAAGAGTTTTATATTAGTAAAATAAAGTGTTAGATTGAAAGAGATTTTATGGTTTAAAAATTAAAGATAATGAAAAAAATTGCTTTATATATAGATGACCCGACCACAAGTTCATTTGATCTATTTTACATCTCATTAACCATTTGGTAGATGATACCTTCAAAATTCATTGATGTACCTGTAAAAATCATAGATATTTATGAAAAAATTTAACTTTTTGCTTAAATTTTGATTTTATTTATTTATTTATAAAAATTAACTTAATTTTTTTCTTTATATTTTATAAGTTATATATTACTCATATGTAATCAATACTACTTCTCACGGTCATTATACCTTAAAATTTGAACTTTTCAATGAGTTAAATTGGTTTGATTTCTTTCTACGTTGTTTAGAAAACTTTAAATTTTGGTCGATATAAAAATCACTAAATATTTTCTCTCCCAAACAAACACACAAATAAATTGCTATAAATAAAATTATTAACCCCTTATAGACATACCAACTTTAGCAAAATTTATTTATAAAACATGAAAAACCAACAAAAACATGATTTTCACTATGTTAATAGCAGTTTAACTGTTTAATTGGGGATGAAAAATATGTTAGTCGTGACATTGAAAAATAATGAAATTATGTTGTACTTTTCTGAATTTCCACTATTATCTACTAAAAATAGTTTACTTTAAATGAAAGTTGAAGGGGTATAAAATGTCAAAATGCAAAGAGTTCAAGGGTTCGTTTAATATTTTCGGAAAAGCGAAACAGGAATCGATAAATCGATCTCGGCAGTTTTCGAGGGTTTTCGTCTCCTCCGTATTCATCGTCATCGTCTTCATCACTCCCTCTGTAATATCAAATATCTGGATTTTATTCAGCTTCAGATAATCTCAATCGATCGAAGGATTCTTTTATTAGAATCCCTGTTTGTGTGTGTATATATGCACAAAAATATATATACACATACAGATACAGCAGATGAATGTGGAGCTGGCTTCGAACACCCATGGGAATCTGGACGAGCAGATTTCACAGCTCATGGAGTGCAAACCCTTAACCGAACCTGAGGTTTTCTTTCTCATCCTTAATTTTGCTTGATTTGCATTTTAGGGTTTCTGTGATTTGAATTACATGTTCATCGTAATTCTTGGTTTTTTACAACTTAGTCTATGTGGTTTTTGATGGATCTGAGCTCTTTAAACTCGCAAAAGGTTTTGATTGAATAGAATATCGTGTCAAGTGTGTTTCTTTTTGGATAAATTGCCGTATTCTTATTCACTAGTCGATCTGTTTTCTTGACTCGTATCTTTGGCTACCAAATTTATAAAGCGATTTATCAATATTGCGGAAGAAAATCACACCTTCTACTTCAAAATAGTAGTTTTCTACTTCAAAATTAATATACTACTGTAAACTCTTAAGCAGCACAGATTCTATGGATAGAATTATTCTATCTAGTTTTCAAAACAATCAACAATAATTTGCATCAGAAAACTCCTGGATTTTTCAAGGATAACTTGTTATCTACTTTTCAGCATATGCTGTTATTGTTAAGTTATCCTATACTGTATCTCAATCAATCCAAAGTATACTTCTTGGGTGTTCTTGAATGAATTAGACCAGTACTTAATGTAATATCAATTCTATAAAAAGAAAATGAACTTTTAGATATTTGTTGATGTAGGTTAGGACATTATGTGAGAAGGCGAAAGAGATACTAATGGATGAAAGCAACGTTCAGGTATGAGTTTTTTTTCATTTTTTCGTGATTTCTTCATCTTTTCTCTACCTCAAGCTCTTCATATATCTTTTTGTCTCCTAATGACATTTTATAATTTTATAATTTTATAATACTATGCAGCCTGTAAGAAGCCCTGTTACTATCTGTGGTGACATTCATGGACAATTCCATGATCTTGCTGAACTTTTTCGTATTGGAGGAAAGGTATTCTATTTTCACATCTGTTTTGTTTCATTTCAAGTTGGAGTTAAGTTATTAAACTTTGGATTGTTATACATTCTAGATTATACTTTTGTTCTTGTTACATTACATCATACATGATTACAAATTTGCAATACATTGATATCATTTGTTATGCCATGACAGTGTCCAGATACAAATTACTTGTTTATGGGTGATTATGTGGATCGAGGGTATTATTCTGTTGAAACTGTCACTGTAAGTGGATCTCAAATTAAAACCTTTTCAATGTATCTTTTTTTGTGTGTAAACATACGTTTCACTTTTAAGTTATCTAGAAGATATTCTGAGATTTATGTTTGTTTTAACTAATGAGTCTGTGAAATACATAAAGAATCTGGTTTGTCTTACTATGAAGGATTTAATGAATGAAGTAGCAATGTACTTTTATTGATTTGTTTATTTATATCATTCTACTTCCATTTCTTTCTATCAAAGTTAAAAAATTCTATCAACTTATAGCAATATCTTCCAAAATCTAATGTAATATTATATAAGTGGTTTTCTTAACACTAATATTTCTCCTTTTATTGGTGAAGTCTACTTTTTTAACATGTTTTTTTATTCAGCTCTTGGTGGCTCTGAAAGTAAGGTACCCTCAAAGAATTACAATTTTAAGAGGGAATCATGAAAGTCGACAGGTACTTTATAAAATATTCATATCAATAATTATAATTCCATAAAAAATTGATGATAGTGAGTTCTATTGTATATATGTTTTTAGTGTATATGTGACTTATATAAATAAAAATTTTTCTTTATGTGCAGATTACTCAAGTCTATGGGTTTTATGATGAATGCCTTCGAAAGTAAGTTTCTTCCATTTATTTCTTCATCTTTTGAGCATAAACTTTTCACTTAAAAATAACCCTTTTTTTACATTTTATGGATTTTATTCCTTGTTGAATCTTTTCATTCTTATATTATTTTTTTAACACAAATTATTGATTTACAGGTATGGCAATGCAAATGTTTGGAAAACATTTACTGATCTTTTCGATTATTTCCCACTCACTGCATTGGTTAGTATCAATATCAAATATATTAATTCTAACATTTATATCAATAAAATGGTCCTTATGGTTTTCATTTTATCCCTAAAATAGTCCTTGTGAAACCTTTTTTTGCATGAATGGTCCTTTTCTTTGCTCTAAAGGGACAATTCATGCAAAAAAAGGTTTCACAAGGACTATTTTAGGGAAAAAATGAAAACCAGAAGGATCATTTGTGAAATTTTGTCATATTGCTATGTAGTAAAATGACTAATTAAGGCTGTGTTTGGTGCGCTACAACTAACTTATTTTTCGAGCTTTTTTAAGTTTTGTCATGTTTGGCCAGCTAAAAAGTAGCTTATAAGGTAGCTTTTTAAAAAGCTACTTAGACTAGATTTTTAGGAGCTTTTTTAAAATTTTCCAAATATACACCTTAATTAATTATAGAAACACATTCTTTTAAATGTCCTTTTATGTCATTTTATATATCTTTCAGCTAGCTTTTAAGCTAGTTTTACCAAACATTTATTTTTTATCAGCTAGCTTTTCAACTACCAGCTTTTCAGTTATCAGCTAGCTTTTCAGCTAACAGCTAGCTGTTAGCTGAAAAACTACAACTGTTAAATAACAAGCTAAGCTGATAGCTGAAAAGCTAGCTGATAAAAAAAAATTTTTGGTAAAACTAGCTTAAAAGCTAGCTGAAAGATATGTAAAATGATATAAAAGGACATTTAAAAGAATGTGTTTTGTATAATTAATTAAGGGGTATATTTGGAAAATTTCAAAAAAGCTCCTAAAAAGTTAGTTTAAGTAGCTTTTTAAAACGCTACCTTATCAGCTACTCTTTGGCTTGCCAAACATGACACAACTTAAAAAAAGCTCGAAAAATAAGCTAGCTGTGGCGCGCCAAACACAGCCTAATTAAGTTTGGGATTGTTAAATTATTTGATTTTGGTTGGTTGTTTGAATTAAGGTTGAATCAGAGATATTTTGTCTTCATGGAGGATTATCACCTTCTATTGAAACTCTTGATAGTATAAGAAATTTTGATCGTGTTCAAGAGGTCCCACATGAAGGTCCAAATGTGTGACCTTCTTTGGTCTGACCCTGATGACCGTTGTGGGTGGGGCATTTCACCTCGTGGGGCCGGTTACACTTTTGGCCAGGTATTATTTTTAATTTTTTAATTTTTCACTAATTAATTTTTTATATCATTGAAAAGCTCTTATCAAGACGATCAAAATGACTCCAATATCAAATATATAAAAAAAAACATAGGAACGATATAATATTTTGGGTTAATCTCATAAAAGACCTTATATTTTGTGTTTTTTCTGGATTAAACCTCAACTTTATTTTTTTTTTTCCAGTAAAAGACCTCGTAGTTTCCAAAAAAACCCTCAACTTTTCATTTTTTTTTCCAAAAAAAACCCTCAAACTTTCAAACTGTTTCCGAAAAAACCCTCACATTTTGCAAGTTTTTTCGGAAAAAAATGACTAAAAGGGCCAGATTGGAAAAATAAAAACGCAAGGGTCTTTTTCAGGCAAAAAATAAATTTGAGGTTTAATCCGGAAAAAACACAAAATATAAGGTCTTTTATGAGATTAATCCCTTTTATAACTGCATAAAATGGTATGTGATGAACCTAATAAGAATAAATTTTAAATTATTAATAAGCTTTTTGAAAATGAGAATAAATTTTAAATTGTTAATATAAGCTTTTGGAAAGGTTTATAAAGATAGTTTTTGTTAAAAAAAGGTTTGACATGAAAAAAATAAAAAAAGTCTTTGAAAGGGTTTGAATGCAAAATAATGGAAAACTAATAATAGTAGTATCTTTATTCTTTAAATTGTTTATGCCATTATATAATATATATAATAATAATATTAAATAATTTGTTTCCAGGATATTTCAGAGCAATTTAACCACACCAACAACCTAAAGCTTATTGCTCGAGCCCATCAACTGGTGATGGAGGGATTCAACTGGGGACATGTAATTTTACTTTTAATTGAAAAATCTTTATTTATTTATTTTTAAATAAAAAATTAAAAATGTTGAATTTTGGATGACAGGATCAAAAGGTGGTTACTATCTTTAGTGCACCAAATTATTGTTACAGATGTGGGAATATGGCTTCTATCTTGGAGGTTGATGATTGCAAGGGTCACACATTTATCCAGGTTTGTTTGCATTGGAATGGAATCACCAATTCCGTTGGATTCCAATTAATGATTTGAATTTGATATTGCAGTTTGAACCTGCTCCTAGGAGAGGGGAACCTGATGTAACCAGAAGGACACCCGATTACTTCCTTTAAACTCAACTCACTAATGCTCCATACTCTTGGAATGGAATGGTTGGGGGTATAATGGTCTTTTGCTACAGTGGCATTATCTAAAGGTGTTGATTCATATGATAGAAACTAGAAAGTGGTTGGTTGTGGTTCTGTAGTTGTACATCAGACATGTTTTGTCATTCCAACATTCTAACCTAGGATTATGCCACTGTCTGAGGATGTGATGTAATCTATATGATTATTTTTTTAGGTTTTTTTTTTGTGTGTGTGTATGTATATCGAATCGGCCTTGTTTTGTGTTCTCTTTGCATTTTTTTTTCTTTAAAAAATTTGTATGGGCTCTAATGCTTTAAAGATGGTAATGTGCGTGAACAAAGGCTTTTTAGGTGTATAATTTAATGATGATTGGGGAGGGGTATTCAATGTCATTTGCACAGATGAATGTCACTGTACCCCAACAAACTATTGAGTTTTGGTTTAAAAGGTACTTAGATGTAAACATGTAAACTTATGTGTTCTGTTAATTATACCAATAATATACTTTTTTATCTGGTTTTATCGGTTACCCTCCTGATCCCACTCTCATCTCTTCTCAAAGTTGCACAAAATCACACCCTCTTCACCTTTACTTCTCGAATTTCAGGTGATAATTTCTTTTTCTGGTTTTCTAGGATGGGAGGTTGATGTTCGATGGTGGGGCTGTAATTGCTAAATTAAAAACAGGTGAGGGGGTATTGACGGTGGTTGCTGGATATAAGGATGAAGATGGGCCTCGAAGGTATTTGATGGTGGCTGGAGTGGAAGAATAAGGGAGGTATTTTGGTGGGTATGAAGGCTGTTGGGAGAGAGTTGGTGTTGGTCAGAGGTATAAGGTGGCGGATGGTGGTGGTATTAGTGATGTTTTGGTGCTTGATGGTCGCTGATATGGTGGATATAAGGGTGGAGAAGGGTTGACTGTTATTAAGGAATAAGGTTGGTTTGTGGTAGTAGAAGGTGGTATGGGGTCAAGGGTGGAAGAATGGCGGTGGTTGGAAATTCATGGTTGAAGTCAACAAAACTTTTACATTTAATTCATGGTTGTAACCGGTAAAACCGGACAAAAATACGTTGTTCGTACAATTAACAGATCACATATAAGTTTAATGACCTAGACTACCAAATAAAATATATCAAGTACCTTTTAAACCAAAACCTAATAGTTGGTTAGGTTAGAGTGACATCTACTCTACAATCAAGTGTACATGTGTATGTCTTGAATGTCGTACCAATTTATCAGTTTGCAGATATATTTATAAAAAGATTCTCACAGTTATTTCTAGATTTTCGGATTTTCGGAACAGCTTTAGCAAACGTGAACCTTACACTCAAATTGATATGAATGTTAAATATTGTAAATTGTTTCTGATTTTCATATCATGTATAATCTAGGGTCTCTTATGTAAATAATATATGTGTTCCATCAACTTATCAGTTTGTAGATATCTTTACAAAGGGACTTTAAACAATTATTTGTAGTGTTTCGGAAGAGTTTAAACATACACAAACATTTTATTCAAACTGAAGGGGCATGTTCAATATTGTAAATTTTTTTTTTCTTATCATGTATAGTCAATAGTCTTTTATGTAAATACTGTATCTTTACTGTATTATTTACAGAAATGAAATACATAACAAATTCTAACGGGTATTTTCACAATCAAACACACGATGGAAAGTTGTAAGGTTTATAGTTGTTAAAAATTGTAAGACTCATACTCAAGCCAATGCATCATTTATCTTGTTATGGGGATTTTGTCACTCACCTCTTTTATGTTGGTTAGTATTCAAATAATAATAATAATAGACATGAGAGTATTTGATCGTATATTTATTGAATGCTTGGATGATATTACTAATAGATAATCTGATCGTATGAGTTGAATTCTTGGATGATATATTTGAGATATATAATATGCTATTAAGAAATTAAAAACAACAATAAATTTGAGAGTAAACTCATTTCACAAATTTCCGTTCTGTCTTATTCCATTAGATCAACGATCCTTATATAGAAATTATTTTATATACATGACATATGACTAACTATTGTTACCAGATTACATTTCATCTGCTATATTCTAGACTGACATATACCTAACAAACTTTTAACTAGTACCATGCACATATTGGATGAATAGTAAGGTGTTGTTTGTTTTTAAAAAAAAATTTCAGACCACTTTTTGCTGTACGGCGCAGCACAGACGCACCACTTGCTCTCTCGCAACAGTTGGTTTTTTGGAAGGCTTCAAACTGCAAAACATCTGCGTGTACTGTGCGGCACAACACTTGATCTGCCTTTTCAAACCTCTTCGGTTTTCATTTTTTCTAAGTGATTTTTTTAAGAAATTTGGTATAACTTATTTTTTCTTAAACTGAGATTTTCTTTTTTGATTTACGGATTTGATAAAATTTCTTTTTATAATAATTTGTTATAACCTAATTTTTAAAAAAACTTTGATTTTGTTAATTTTTTTTACCGTTTCTGTTAATAATATTTCCAGTTTCGGTTGCATTTTTTAACCTATGT